TGTGTGCTCTGAGCTTGAAAATTTTCTTACTATGTCCCCGCTGTGTATTTGCCGGGTCAACGGTGAAAAACCTGTTTTCCAAGCTTTGTTCAAACAGAGCATAAGTAAGGATTAGGTCCTTTCGGAGGCGACGGTACTCCAGGGGAAAGAGATCAAGCATCGCGTATCGCGTTTCGTAGCCCACGGATTTGAGGCCCGCAACCATTCTCGTAGCGGTCCGCCTGACACGCTCAATGAGGGTGACGTCTTTCGTGCGTCCTGAGTAGACAACTTGGTTGGCATACTCCAGGAACGGTCTGACGTAGGCCCCATAGGGTATCTGGAAGTCCATGCGAGTAATACGGGAGAAGGTGCGTCGGATCATCCGTAAATGGTGAATGCCTTTTGAGCCGATTTCTCATGGTGCAGTGAGAAGGACAAGTTTGAGAAGACTCAGATGCCCAAACCCTTTTTGGCATCCATCCTCGTGATATTTTCTGGTCCCTTTTCACCTCCAAGCGACATATGGACGCACTTTCATCATTTAGAGGAAGGTGCCAGTCCAGCGATCACTGCTTGGCAGCGTCTACATCCATTTGGAGGGCACTGGCATTGGAACTCCAGGATTTCAAGTCGTGGAGAAAATATGGGTTATAATGAAGCTAAGTGAAACCAGTGGTTCTTAGGAGCGTGAATAGGTTTGTTAAAATTTATGGTTGCTCGCCGTCCGTTGGTACAACATAAACCCGGATGGCCGAGGTGGAGGGAATGGGCAAATTTGTGAACGAGACAAAACGACAACGCACCTGGAAAGTCAGTATTTGGGGAATTGGCATAAATTTACCAGATTTAGATGGTTTTTTGCGCAAATAGTCCACCTGTCCAGAGAATAGCAGCAGTATAATGGAATGAGTACCCGTCATCATTTTGGGTGTGACAGTCATCGTAGCACCATCGCTACATCAAATATCCCTGAAAGGCCTTGCGCGCGGATGCTTCAGGTGGACCATTTACGGTAAATAAATTCATGTGTACGAAGAGAATGAATGCGGAATATGAGTATGACCCCATGCCGTGGTTCGGTAGGGCGCACTTTAAAATATCATGGAAGTGGACCATTTACGTTCGGTAAATTCATGTGTACGAAGAGAATGAATGCGGAATATGAGTATGACCCCATGCCGTGGTTCGGTAGGGCGCACTTTAAAATCTCTATCATGGAAACGGATGGCTTTCTGGCAGGCATTTGGGGATGTACCGAAAACTTAGAGGAGCAGGTTAAAACATAGAAGAGGTTTATTAAACAGGTGGCTGCGGAATCGGTTCAATAGTGAAAAGTTCCGAAACGAAAACGGTTCGCTACCACCAGTGATAGTAGTGCAGAGAGTGATTAGGTAGCTAAAGAACACGCAGAATGTAGTGTACAACTAATTATGGAGAAAAATGAGGTGGGGGAAAAAGCGAGGGTCTTGGTTGTTCTGTATGTCCACACGATGAGATGGTCTCCATGCGACGCATTCATAGCCACAAAAAGGGTACAATTTCTGTGGAAGGAAATGCTTTCGAGTCGTTGCTTTCAGTTTTTATCGGTTGGCTTGCAGGTGAGGAAAATTTGCTGTAGCTGGTGTTTTGGATTCCTGAGGGGGACCTTTGGGAAATATGCTTTACCCGCAATATCATCAAGTCAATGACACTGGCACACAAGAACGACTATTATTTATTTTTTTGAATAAAACCCCGTCTGAGAAACCGGAGATGTGTATCTCACCCGCGTCAGCATATATATCACCAGAGGCAACACACCAGGATGAATATCCTTTCCTTATATACCCAACTATTGCATAATTTTTTAGCCCCCTTGCATTTTATCAGATATACAGGATGAGGAACCATTTGATAGACTTTATCTCGGCTTATGTGTCAATGAACGCTAGCTACTAGACATTTCATCCTTTCGGATAAAAAACAGAAAAGTAATGCATTATGGTAAGACTAAGTAGGTACTTGACAGGCAACTGAAATTTTAACCATTCAGAGATTGTATGATGTGCTAACTTAGTCCTGCTTGTTTCGTCTACTTGAAAATCAGACGCATTCAACTGTGAACATGTGCAGGAACCGTGACGGCTAACAACACAACTAGGCGCTGTCATTCGTTTTTTGGAGCTCACGCGTGTCTGACCTAGTGGAAATTTTGAGGCAATGCTGACCACACTCGTTCAACACAGTACTTCGAGTATCACTCACTAGGTACCGCGCAGGCCCACTACCATCCCTTCCGATTCGGTAATCACCAACAAAATGCGCTTCGTTGATCGGGTGTTAATTATCGCTCCACCAAGACATGGTGACCACTGTGTGCTAACCTTTGATTGCTGCCACTGGGCCAGAAATCTCGAACCTCAAACGCTGCTTTGCAGACACCTGAAGAAAGCACATCCTTCCTAGATACGTTACACTGAAATTAGCTTCATTAGAAGAGTTATAGAGGACTATTGTCCAGAAAGTTCACGGGGCTGACGCCATGTTCGTCCCAGAAAACCAGCACGTAATCGGACGGGCCCTAAGTTACATAAGAGGATTCGGCGCTTTCTGGACTATTTTAAAAGACAGTTGACTGCGCGAGACACAGAAGATGAGCTGGCACTTCGTAAAATGCGAAAGCGCTGTAAATAAGAAATCATACAATGGAATACAATGGAATACAAACCATACAATAGATTATACTAAACAAGCGACCATTCTAGAAATTGCTCGGAAGAACGCAAATGTGATGTTCAAATACATGAGACATCGCCACGGAAATTAGCTATCCACGTTTTCGTGGAGGGACTGGAGTGGGGAACCCAACCCACGGGTGACCCAACGGTGGTATCTTAAATGTACGGAGAACACTTTGGAGGTACATAATCAGATTCAACGTCCTCGTCACACCAGGTGCTGTCAAAGCGTAACCACGAGCGGCCTTAAACCGACTTGGTCTTCACCTTTGAGGACATTCATCAACCCTTGCACAAGATCAACCCCTTCTGAGCTTTGGAGCCCGACAGGGTTCATCCAAGGATTCTGAAGGAAACGTCTTAATACTGTCGAAATATTTCTACCGGATGTTTCGTCAGTCGTTTGACGAAGACCAGCTTCTCTCCGCCTGGAAGGAGGCTCCAATCTACAAAGCTGGCGACGGACTATCGCCCAGAAACTACATGTCTATTACGCTCACTAACACACCGTGAATAGTGATTGAAAACTTTTGAAAGCAGGCCATCCTAGGTCACAATACTTCCGAAAACTTGATATCACCAGTTCAACACGGGCTTCTCCCAAACCGTTCTTGCGTGACGAAGACGCTCGTATTTACGGACAGCTTAACCCAAGCCAAGGATGAGTGACTCAAACCAGACGCCATATTTTTCGACTTCTCAAAAGTTTTTGATGAAGTCCCACACGTCCCGTCGCTCCACAAACTCGAGTCTTACGAACTTCAAGGGGAAGTTCTACGTTTGATTAAGGCGTTCCTATCAGAGAGAATATTCCGTTTGAAATTAGGCTTAACCTATTCCTTTTCGGCACCGGTCTCCGTTGAAGCTCTTTAAAGCATTGCTTTGGGACCACTGCTGTTTCTGATATACGTGGACGACATAGATTTTCTTTCAAGTCCGCGTCCACTTTTCGCGAACGATTTGATATCCTGGCACTCTGAGGCTAATGCCCCCCCAAACAGATGTAGACGCTGCAAAGCATTAGTTGTTGGACTGGCACCTTCATCTGAATAACGAAAATTACGTCCATAAGTCATTCGGGGGAGACTCAATATCTGACGTGGTGAGAATGGATCAGAAGGAATCACGAGGATAGATACCCAAAAGGATTTGCGTATTTGGCTATCTTCAAACATTTGTTTCTCGCAGCACCATGAGAAATCGGCTCAAAGAACATTTTCTGTTGAACGGATGATTCAGTAGACTTTCTCCCGTATTACTTGTGTGAACTTCCAAGTCCTTCATGAAGCCTACGTCAGACAGCTTTTTGGATATGTCAGGATGCAAGAAGGATGTAATCCTTATCAAGCATGTCCAACGAGCTTCTACTAAAATGGTTGTGAGCCTCAAGCCTGTGGACTATGAAATGTATTCCGCAGTGCTTGACCTCTTTCCCATTGAGCAGCGTCACCTAAAAAAATCCCAATACCAAATAATGCCCTGTTTGAACGAGGTTTGGGCAACAGTTTTTTCGCCGTCGTCCCAACTAACACACGATGGGCACATGGTACAAGCTTTTTTGGGCTCAGAACGCGCACTTTTATTAAGCAACTTTTTTATCATTTCGGGTGTTTGCGGCGTGGAATAACTTTTGTCCGAAAGTTGTCCAAGCAACACCTAGTGCCAAGTTCGAAGCACTATTTGATGCTCTCTATGCAAAACCTCGCGCTATCGAGCTAATAGCCCTTCGTGGAGAACTTAAAAAGGAATGCTACATTCTTTTTTTCTTTTGTGAGTTTCAGGTGAACGGCAGCCGCCTAACGACAAGAACAAAACCGATCCGAGAAACTGGGGTGTGAGCCTCCATCCTGTGTATTAGTCAATGAATCCGTGAAACAGTCTCAGAAAAAATTCTTTTAACGACGTTGCAGTTATGACCAACGTTAGAACACGACATTCGTTGGCGAGCCATAGATTCACAAATAGTTATAACCACCAGCCGGTCATGTTCTTCTATGTCGTTAAAGATCACATTCTAGGCTTTCGTTAACCCCAGTTATCAGCCTAAATGGCTAAGGGGAGCATGAAGCGATATTGCCACATGTTAGATATTAGTTTGCATTTATGTGTTCGCCTATGTTCACCATTCCTAAGCCAAGTGTTTGTCAGATGACCTCATTAGACATAAAATCGGGGCTTTTGGAGACCTGTGTGGGGAGTGAAAGGGCAAGTTGGTAATCCTCAATTGTATCTATACGGTACAGAAGTTATCTGTCCACTCAGGAAGGTACGTAATCTTGTCGCTCTTTATCATCGGCTTAGAAATATTTTTCTTACTTTGAAAACACCAGAAGCCAACCCACGCGCAATATGCAGTGTGAAATCACGTCCTCTGTGTTACAAGCATTATCCGTCCAACCTACGCTTGTTGAAACTGATCTTGATCAGCACTGAGTACTGGCCTTAGTAATACGGGCTGTCTCAGATGTAATACCACAGCAGGCGTTCAATTTCAGCAACCCTTTTGCAATTAAATTGTAACTACATGTAATGAAAATTGGTTTCAGCCACAAAGGCCGTTGCATCTGATGTTACAGTGCGCCATGAGCCCCAAGTTTCTAACGAGGTGAGACTTTGAGATGCTCTCCCATACGACTGAAATGTCTTTGAACCCAAGTACGCTAAG